GGTAAACCGGCCTCCCCCAAGACCAGGGCAGTGACTTAATTATAGGCTGTCAAGAATGTGCTTTAGGTTCCTGGCACAATTCAGATCGCTAGCCCCCAGAAATGTCTCATTTCCCCCGCCGGTGCCTGTGTGGGTGTGGAACGGAGTGTGTCGTGCTAAACCAAGAAACACTGGGTGCCAAGCGGCAGCCTCGAGTTGTAGGTCAGCCACACTCCGGCTGCCGGGAGAGAACACCCTGTCTTTGGGGGAAGAAGGGACACGTCAGTGTGTGGGGAGCAGTGAGCGGATGTGGCCGCCTCCCTGCGAGGCCGTGCGAGTCCACGTTTACACCGTCAGGGACCAACTGGCCACCCGGGCGCATGTAGCACCTTGCAGCCCCTTAGAGTTCGGCACCAACAATGCAGCGACAGGAGATGGCTTGTTGTTGTTGTTTTAATAAATTTTTATTGATTTCAGAGAGGAAGGGAGAGGGAGAGAGAGAGAAACATCAATGAGAGAGAATCATGGATCGGCTGCCTCCTGCCCGCCCCCCCCACTGGGGATCAAGCCCACAACCTGGGCATGTGCCCTGACAGGGAATCGAACCCTGACCTCCTGGTTCATAGGTCAATCACTGAGCCATACTGGCCAGGCCGGACTGTGGGTCGATGGTGCTATTGGGACAACATGCCTCACAGGTCCCCTGTGCTCACTGCGGCACCCACGGCAGAGACGCGGCCGGCCCGCGATGGTGCGTGGAGTTGGGGGACGTTGACGCCTGTGTTACAACAAGGGCTCCGGGCAGGAACCCTGCAGCATCGGCTGATCAGACGTCGGACACTCCGCAGACTGGGACGTCCTCTAAGGCTACAGTTGACCTCTTCCTATTGTCAAGTTTGAAAAATACTGAGGTAGTTCTGCTAATAATGTACAGGCCGGGAGTACGGAGTGACGGAGCTGTCGCTCCTGGTCCATGGAAGGTGGAGACCCTCCGCCCAGCCGGTCAAACTCACGCTTACGGGCTTGTAAGCCTTACTGACTTACACGCGGCGTATAACTTCAATATGAGCCAGCTCAAGAAAACGTAGGATGCGTGTGGCTTACATTTGGACTCACATAAAGAATTGCAGTTAATAGTCGCTTTGCCCTGGGGTCGGGGGTGGAACACCACCTGGGCGTCGTCCCTGTGGCCACATCACCGCCACAGAAGCGTGGCGGCGGGAAGTCGGCTGCTGTGCTGCTAGCAGGCTCTGCCCCGATCCGTTGCTGTCAGGTGGGCTGTGGGCTGTGGCCCAGGTGAAAGGAAAGGGGCGCCGCTCTAGGACTGTCACTGCCGGTTCAGTTCCCTCTCCTGAGGTTCGAAGCCTCCATAGGGGTCAGCGCCACAACCTGGCGGAGAGGAACTGGGCTCCCAGCTCAAGGGAGCACGGCTCCCCGGTCAGGGGTCCCGGCGTCTTTGTTGCTGCTGGTTC